AACACCAGAAAGTATCACTCGTTTTTTTTTTTTTTTTTTTTTTTTTTAGCGCCGGGCCTACATGATCAGGGGTGCCCCAGCCCATTCCAAGAGCATGATACATTCCTCCTTCATTAAAAGAAAAGAGTACTGTCTTGCTTAATCTTTGAAATCAGTAATAAACTTCGAAAGAACATTGCAAAAACACTTTTAACAGCAAAAGGCAAAAACTGGGATCCCATAAATTAACTAAAACAGCTCCCAGTTGGGGCTACACGTGTACGTGGCGTATAGCCTGCGTGTATGAAGCACAGACAATTAAGTACGGTAAACAGATCCAACTTCATTGAAAGGCTGCAACGTTCGTGGTTTGAATAATAGCAGTCTTTTTTCACTGCACATGTTGCCGTCCACGTAGGTCTTAATATATCACATCGTAATAAAAAGAAGAACCATTGCAGGGTGGCTTCGAATGTAACAGTGAATAATAAGCCGGGGGTTTCGATATTATTTTGAAACAGGACGCCGGAGGTACATCGCGAGATCAAATTTTTCCGCAGTCTGTTGTGAAAATCACATTTTGAAGAGGGCCGCGAACGAAACCACTGAATATGGGCGTTTCACAATAGCGCGCCATCAAGAGTTTGCAACGCGCTGGCCAATCACAATGCGCGAAATCTGTCGACCATTTCCAAACGCACATTGGGTCGACAGATTTCGGGCATTGTGATTGGCCAACGCGTTGCAAACCCTATGAAGGCTCGCTCTTGTGAAACGACCCATTTAGATCAGTTTATCTGGTCAAATTGTTTTCTTTGGGATTCAAATTTAAATTCCTCTTGTCTAGGATTTCCCACCACTACTACCGGTATCTAAAGTCATCATCATCATCATCATCATGACTATGTCAGTGAATCTGAAGGGTTTTAATTTACCGGTAGGGTTAGGTTTTCTGTTGACATTGGCTCAAATACAAGTTGGGGCAAGGCGGTCGTGCTTTTCTTACCGAAAACGTAAAAAAAGCGCCTCCCGTGCCAAACTATTGGTGGTGCTCTATAGCCCCTGTTTCCAACTTCTGTCTAAACCTTACATTGCATAGTGTATTTCATGTGTTTTCCTGTACTCTTTATTTAAGTGTCATGTACAATGGTAGCGTCAATACCATCAGATCCCATGCCTTCAGTAATCTCTCACATCTCCAGCAGCTGTAAGTTTTTTGGATAAACATTTTCAACTAAGTGCTAAGAAACAAACCATGAACCACACGAAATTATTATTACTGTCATTGTGTGTTTCAAGAAAAGGTATTGGTATTTTATTACTTGTTTTACCGTTTACAAATTCACGAGTTATGGTCATCGTTTTAAAGTGAAAATTAAATGCTTTAGAGTCATACTTTTTAAAATCAATAATACCCCGACAAGCGAAATGGGATAACTATCCGCATATTTTT